CAGAGAAGAGCATCAAATATTCACAGTTAGGAAGGTAAAACAATCAATTATTAAAACAGTTTAAAGTATTTTCTGTCAAATGACTAATTGATCGGCTGAATAAAGTCTACTATAAAGTAAGAAAACATGGTGCAGCTGCAGCTCTTGTTGCAGAGTGTCTGGTAATCCCTGTCTGAATGTGTACATCTCTGTCTGCATTTAAATTACTTGTATGATATTCCTCCCTGTGCTTTTGTCTGACCACTAACAACATACTGCACTAGAAATTCCATTAATAAGGAGTCCAAACTGTAGAATAGCTCTCTGCTATCTCCCCAGCACCTGCCCAAAGTTGCTATGTGAATACACTTCTAAGAAATCTGAGGAGCACAGCACACCAATCTCTGCCTTCACTATATGTCTGAAAAGCACAGACTTTTCTGAGCTCGACTGCCCCGCCACATACATTCAGAAAGCATCATTTGAAGGTCACATCGAACGTAACTTTAGCCTTAGCATCACTTTCACTCTCAAGGTTCATCTCATTCTCTGCTCGTCTGTGGTTTTCTCATTTTCCTGCACCACATGGGTTGATCTTTGGTCCTGTTGCTGTTTTGCATTGCAAACAAATGAGAATCTGCATGGAGACATGGCTTCACGCCGTGAACAGCTGATACACAATCGCACACCCATCCCACTGCTCAGAGGCGGGGGGACGACATCACTTCCTCTCACTGGGTGCCAACTGATTCAAATGAACTTCTCAACCCTGAACTCTGCCCCTGTGTATATAGTGCATGCACTTTACACAGCGACAGGAAGTGGCAGAGCACACTGTTAGTACAGCAGCATTTGTAAAAGCAACGTCTTTATAAACACCAAAGCACACAAGTAATTATGCACACTGTACATACACATGACCATTAATACATCTGGGTGCTCAGACTGAAATACAAACTGTGATCATCATCATATCTCAGTTTGCTCTTCCTTCCTGTACAGCTGTGTCTGGTTTCACTTGTAGCAGAACAAATCATATGGCCTGAACACAAACACTAACAACAGCACTGATCCAGCCTCTCTGCTACTGCTGCTCGGTTACAGCAAATGACATATACACGATTATTTTGCTCAATACTAAGACAACATGATTATTTAACACAATCACTCATTCACTTTGGAAACATAATGCATTTATTGACCTGAAAAACATCTTTTCTTTTTAGCAGTGCATTTTCTTGAACTTTAAATATAATTCAATCTCATCAGCATAATTGTGATTAACAGTTCAGAGGAAATTATATATGGCTCTAAATTTATTCTACAAATAAAAACTTGATGTTATCAATATTGCCTGTCTTAACCATAGACTGTATATGAAGGTGAACCACACGTCTCCAGTTCCTGCCACTAAACAAAAACTGAAGCTAAAATATAGTCAATAAGGGGACTGGCGTGTTTTGTAACACATTTTGCCAACAGATTGTGCACATTAGCAGCCAAGTGGTGGAGTGATTGTATCAGACCGCCAATCAAAGCTTAAATTAAATCATCCAAAACACACCCCTTTTTATATAATCAAATAACTCATTGAAAACCTAACAGAAAATTTACCACTTGTACACAAATCGGCATGACAATAGCTACATAAAATGACAGAAATCACCTCTGGGAAAAATGTATTTGATTTGTACTTTGAATATTTACACTGGCCCATCCGCTAACTTGGATGGGGTGGGGTTTATGGGATATACTGCAACCAGCCATCAGGGGGTGATCCACTTGCAGTGGCTTCACTTCTGGGACCTGTCACATCATCCATCTGTATATACAGGCTATGGTCATAACCTAAAGAATTGCCATCCTAACAGACCCTTTTCATATGATGTCAGACAACTTCAGCTGAGCTTTACAACTTCATAAATGTGCAAATATTATTCTGAACGCTGAACTAGAAACAGTGATACTCCATGAGTTCTGATGTCACTGTAAAAAGGGTTGATTAGCTGTTGGTTAACTCTTCTGGCTTTCCTTCTGGCTCAAACAAACTGCCCGGTTGTGTCACGGGGCACCAATAGGCTTTGCTAAAAGTGAACCATCTTGTTGTGTAGAATCTAAACATGCCACAGCCTGGCAGCAAGTGAAACAGTGAGTTTAGGCTTCTAGGCAGGGAAGGGGTGCGCTGCATTTATAACACAAGACAAAACATTGCAAAATGGAATCAGTACAATAATCATTTTACCTTCATTATCTTGTTTTTATAATCATTGGAAGCCAAAATCTAATCACCCACCCCTACTGTCGGCTATCATAGAAGGAAAGAACAGGCCTGTTTTCACAACCAGGCATCTTACAAACACGCAGAACACAAGTTACTGTGCTTCTCACCTCTCCAGTCAAAGCTGCACTGAAAATTTTCCAGTAACAGAGTTTAATATAATTCAACTGAGCGCTCAGTGGCTGACACAAGCTGTGATGTAGAGCCAGATATTTATGACTGAGCCTGACAGACCCCAGGGTTTAGTCAGACTTAGATCAGCAATGAAAGGTGCCAACATAACTTGCATGATGGGAGTTGAAAATTTTAAGTTTTCCCCAGACCTACTTTTCAAGACTATAAAGCTGTTCTTTTTGCATTCTAAAGCTATAAATAAGAGGGCAATGTTCACCAAAGAATGAGAGATACACCAATAAAGACAGAGATTGCTCAACATGGCAGAATATTTGCAGCATCATGCTTAGATTTCAGAAGGTCACAGGGATTTCAGTTGAGTCTGAAACAAGGGCCAGCTTTTTTCTATCCAGCCCAGATAATAAAACACTCCCCTCACTCTCAGTAATTTGATTAACTTTTGATTATGCTGTCATGATGCACTGTGGATACAACACTCTTGATGGCTGCAGCTCACGTTGAGGATTTCAAACGTATTTTTATAAAATTTATAAAAGGTTTTTATATGAGGATCAACATGCCATCTATCAACAAATGTATGTTTTCAGATTCACACATGGCTGTCTACGGTAAGCCCAAAATAGACTTGCAACAGCTCTGACTTCTTTGTTTCACTGCATTCAAAATGAGCATTGGCTGAGGCCATAGCACTGCGATTGACAACTAAAAATCATTTATCAAGTAAAAATACCCAAACTCCAATTTACAACTGTGAAATATGAAGTGTCATATTAAGCTATTATATATTTTTTTCACAGTATGCCAGGCCAAGAGCAATTTAAGAAATTATTTTGGGGTGTACGAAACAGTCACTTGCACAAAAGAAAAAAAGGATTAAGCAGTAATGAAAGTATTAGTTAGCTCAGTATTTCACAACAACCACCATGATGTCGGGCTGCCATATGGGTTTGTCAGAATATTTAGACAGTCAATTCCTGTTGCCATCCCAGCTTAACATAACAGAAAGTGTATGACCCAAGAACATAATTAAAGTTACATTCTTCCTGGACTGGATCAGATTACTTTTCATTCTGTATCATTAGAAGAGTCTATGAGGATTCGGGAAATATCTTAAGAATTTGGGTGAGTGTTATGAAACGACAGTATGGGGTTAAAACGTTCAACAAGTTTCAATTGCAAAAACTCATGAAAGATTAGCTCTGTGACTCAAGTGTATGTAATACACGAGAGTCCCAAACTAGGGCTAATGCAAAACCAGCCACATTGTTGCAGCCATTAAAGTAGACCACCATGTTTGAAAACGCTTCTAATAAATTTCACCTTTATGTGTCTTGTCCTCGTGTATTTTGTTGTCTTTTTCTCCTCATTCTGGGCAGCAGTTCGCTGAACAGCATCGTCGGAGCTTATACATGCATGCATCAGACAGTGTCACTGTTGAAGTGGGTATTCCCCTCGATCACAGGGGTAAGCACTGAGCAAATTGCTGCTTGGCACACCAAAATGAGGAGACAAAGATGACAAACTAACGGGGGCTGTGGCTACCTTCTACTGTAATGCACACTAGCAAACAAAGAATAATATATATTATAATAAAAAACAAAGGTTCGACTTGACGAATCTTAGTTGACTGAGAGGTCTCTCAACTAATGTAATTGCACTAGTTGACATTCAGGGGGCAGCCTTATTTCATATACAATCAAATGTGGCACAAAAATAACACAATTATATTTTCAACAACCAACTACTGCTAGTACTACTACTTTGTTCCTCTGCCTGTTAGTTCAAGTCTGAGTTGTGACTGTGCTGGCTCCAGTATCAAGCAAACAACTCACATTCTCCACCTCAACACTGAATGTGATCCAAATAGGCCAATCAGCAGTGTCTTATTTGGAGCATGTTACCTACTGATAGCAGTGAGTTCCTGATCCATGCAGTGATAACAAGCAGGAGATGTCAGTCTGTTTACTAAAAAGGACCTGTGAGAGAACCTTTGCAAAAATCATGAAAGGCCATTAATCCACAAGCCCTTATGTGAATGGACAGAAAATTAATGCACATTAACTGCCAATTGTTTTTAAAGGTTGAAACTTTTAATGATGTGCATATTCTGTGCTATTTAATTTGTAAGTCAAATAACTTGGTGTTTACGTCATCTATCTTTAAATTCCCAAGTTACTCAGATTTTATTGTGAACATTAGATAAGGTCAGCAGTTAAAACAGTCGATTGTTAATGTGGCTGACTATTGATTAAGAAATTTGCATCTCTAATCCAAACCCACAAATAATCAGTATATTATAATGCAAGACCAAGAAAGACAACACACTGAGTTTCCTTTGAACTAACTGATTGATGCAGTAATCATTACAGCTTTAGCAACAAGGCTTTCAAGAAGAGCAAAATAACATGAAGCAGCCTACCCTCATCTCAAGTTCACTGTTGATTTAGCAGGAGAGCTTTGTGAGTAAAAAAAAAAATAAAGAGAAAAAAGGGTTTAACTTGGATACTTCATGCAACTGAGAAACAACAGGTCCGTTCAATAAAATTCTGCATGGCTCCTTTAGTGATCCCTCACTACGCCTGATCCATGTCCTGAGTATGGGTGGTACCAGCACATGTGTTTATGGTGCAGACACCATAACTGCTGATGGGAGCACAATGAGCTGCAGTTTCCAAAAACCTTCTATACCAGCCACAATGACAACAAATAATACCAAAAAAGTATGCAATAGTAGTAGAAATAAAAATAGAAATATATTTTAAAACAATCTTCAATAAAAAAATAACACCCCTGCCTCTCTCTGTGATGGATTAACTTGCTTTGGAAAAACACAGCATGAGAGCTCGAACATCGACACCAGAACAATCATCACCGGCTAACAGGCAGGTAGAGATCACAAATGACCTATTATAAACGCCAATGAAGCCATAAATGTCACCAGTATCTCCCCAGTCTCTGCACTCAGCACAGCTCCCCAGCAAAGCAAAACAAAACCCCAATCTAACCCATCCGAGCAACACCCACGTAATCTCGCTTTCCTGTTGGCCGAGCGGAGAGGACAGCCCGCCTCCAGGCGTGTCTGAATAGCCACCACGACTGTCAATCACGCGCGCTGCTTCATAATAAACGGCCCTCTTCAGTCTAGGTTGAGGCAGAAGATAAACAAGTTGGAGGCCTACATGCCCGTGGCCTAGATAGCTATAATAAAAAGACATTTAAAGTCAAATCTAACATATAACCGCAAAACTTGAATGCAACACGGGATTATAGGTCAACCAGTGGCATTTGTTAGTATTTATGTATAAACAGAAATCACCAATTTCAACGTTTATCTGATCAAGTTGCTTGATAAGCTATACAGCAGGATGTTTTGATGAAAACGCAAACTAATCTATCAGCCAAGAGAAATTTTTACTTAAGAGATCTCCTCGGTGGAAACATAAATCTGATCCATGTGTATTATCTACAGTAGATAAGACGAAAACGTCTGGTTGTGTTGAGATTTTTTCTCAGAAGCAGTGGATTGTATTTAGTGTTGGGGGGCGTGTACCTACCGAGAGCTCGGACTACCTGCCAGTGTGGATCATTTCAATGACCCACTGAGGATGTTCCTACCACAAACACAGCTTAATAGTGTTTTACTAGACATATTAATGACACGTTAAATACTTATAAGTATTTTATAAGAAATACACGGTATCTTAAGAATAACATTACAAGCTCTTTTTTATATAAGTGCAAGTTTTAACCATTCTGATCCTGAGTCACACACTTATGTCGCTCCACTTTTGAAAAGCCTAATTTTACAGGGACACGGTGAAAGCATTCAGGGGAGTGCTATTTCTCACAGGTTTTATCACTGAGTGGCATTTGACAGTGAGTGACATTAATCTCCCTTCAGCCTGAAGCATTAGCTAAATGCATTTCTGCACATTAACACTTCTTGCAAGTGTTCGATAAATAACTGCAGCTCACAATGAGAAACACGTTAATTATATTTACTTGCCCTTAACGTTGGTTTTTAATACGGAACTGACGAGTCTTGCTTCCTTTTTAGCCGCAGCTCAGTCACTATGGCCTCCGTCCGCCCCCTTCCTCATCCCAGCTGAAGCCCGATACACAACAACAAGCGACCTGCCGTTAGCTTCAAAGCTAATCCTCCACGGCGACGACAACATCGATCCACTATTCAGCAAAGTTAACCTAAAACTGACCAAAAATGGTCCTATTCAGCATAAGGACGCCCATGCATACCTCTCGCTTCGTGTAAGTTCCTGCATTGAAGACAGAAGGGTCCCTTTTCAATGGAGTCCACACGCTGCTACAGCTCTCTCGGGTTTGTTTTGTTTTTCTTCTTCCTGACGGGTTCCTGGAAAGCGCGTGACTCCCCGACCACGTGGTGCACTGGTCGACCAATAGGAACAGAGGAGAAAACACTCCCGCAACATTTCAGCAGACCCAATACACGGTAGTTATTTAATAAATAATTACAGCCTCACTTTAATCAGTGGAAGAAGTACTCCGATTGTTTACTAAAGTAAAAGTAGTAACATCACAGTGTAAAAATACCCAGTTACAAGTCCTTACAATGTTGCTTAATTCGCATCAAAATATAATTAAAGTACCAAAAGTAAAAGTAGTCATTATTCATAACGGCCAATTTCACATTAGTGTATATCCTATTGTTGGGTTATAATTGCTGGTGAATTATTTTGTTCACTTTAATGTTGCAGCGGATACAGGGGGAGCTAATTTTAATTATATTATGAGCTACTTATAATTTGAATTACTACTCATTTGTGAATTTCCAACTAGGGACCAAAATTAACTAGTAATTAAAGTTATCAAATAAGTGTAGTGGAGTAAAAAGTACCTATAATATTTGCCTCTAAAATGTAGTGAGGCTGAAGTATGTGGTAGCAGAAAATGAAAATACTCAAGTAAAGCACAGATAAATCAAATTGTACTACACTATTTGTGTATTTAGTTACTTTCCATCTCTGTCTTTAATGGAAATCCAGTTTATAGGGATGCTATCAGGGTCATTGCTGGATTTTTATTCTGACGGACCTCCATAGTATGTGGCAGTTCCATTATTTGCTCAGGCACCCATCACCAACCATGTTCCTGTTCTTCAAATGTGGTTTACTTAATTCATAACATGCTCATATCAATCTAAACTAACCCTGTTAATTCTCATCCAGCTAATTTGGTTGTTAAATAATTTGAGGGTTAATTTGTTAATCCTGAGTGAAGCTATCTTGTACTTTTTTAAATGTGGCCCTATAGGCTCCAAACAGCCATACATTTTTATAGCCTCTGAAGTAAGCAAGAGTCAAGGGCCCATGCAGAACTATCTCTGGATATTCTTAACAAATATTAGGGTCTCATGAGCCCCTGGGCCTGTACTGGTAGGCCTGTTTGGTAATTCATTTGTGATTACAAATAAATAAATACATACAATGAATTATTTGGGAAATTTGCTCCAGCTTTTAGAGAATGAAAGACTCCAGAGAAAGGGAAAGACCCAGAATGCTTTTTCTGTTTCAGTATTACTCAGTGAAATAACACAGAAGTAGACCAGGTCTGAAAGCTGCTTTGTTTGAGACTAACCAGCCCTACATACCGAATTATTTATCTACCAGGATATGACAGGCTCAAAAAGAAATCAGTGGGCTGAAATGAAGAGGGTACTTCTGGGGAATTTGTGAGCTTCTAGTGAATTTCATCCCCAAAGCATCTTGTATTTTTAGATTCAACAGTATTGTTATTATTTCTTTTTTTGTGAAGTTCATGCAGGGCACACAAGATGGTGAGTTATGTGTTATCACCCTGGAATCCGGGTTCATTCTGGATGATGTTTTATGCATTCAGTTTGCTTTGGTCAGCAGAAAGCCAGCTGTAAGTTTGACACACCTTGTCAGCTACCTGAGACTTAAAGTGCAAGAAATATGACACACAGTATAGGCGCCTACAGAAATATATTAGTGATCACTAATCTAATCTTATTATCTAATATTATTACAGTAACAGATCAAGGATGAAAATAGTTACATTTTGTGCACCCTAATAAAGCATAACATTATAAGAAAATAAAATAGAACACAGTATATTTACTGGAGAGGTAAAGTGAGTTTATCCTAAATGTCTTTTAAGTTCTGTGAATACCAGTGTTTATGGTCAACATACAGTACATAAATGGGATGCCATGTGAAAAGCCCCAGATCAGCACTTTCAACCAGGTTTCTCAGCCTTTGTTGTTTGAAATGACTATTTGCAGTGAGGGCAAAATGGTTAAAAAAAGCAAAAAGCAGCCTTTGCAAGGTTTCTTTTGAATTACAGTGGGAATCTTTATCAGTGTGTGAGGAGTCCTACATGTCTGATAACTGTGGAAAATACTTCAACAGTTTGACTTGGTGAGACAGCTCATCAACCACATGTGGGTTAACCCCATTAAGGGAAAATGAATCATACGTTTGAGTCTTGGGACGCTTTGATTTGGAGTTTCCTTTTTGATTCTATTATCAGCACTGTAATTGTGTTCTGGCTGCAGGAAGTTACAGAGGAGGCGGCACAGGGCCCATTCTGCACTGCATTACTGTAAACAAACTAGTGGTGAAGAGGACACAGCTTTGTTGTAGGCCTGTCGTTGGGTCTCATTTCTCTGAGGGTTTCTTCATTGTGAAGCACTGGAATCATCCTGAAACTGCGTCAACACTTTATAGAAGGATCCCTGATAAATACAGAATTTATTGCTTATGATTTCATTGAAATAAAGTTTTTCCTTCCTCCAGTACAAGGAAAAATATTTAATCCTAGTAAGTGATGCTCCGTGGGCTAGTGAACCTTGAGTATTTGACATGAAGTAGTTTGTGATTTTCTTGAGATATGGTTATTTCTCTAGGTTCAGGGCTCAAAGACATCAATGAAAAAGTGAAATATAATAATTCCTTGTGTGGCTGGAGTTTATGGGCTGACGCACGCCAATATGCTTCCTGTTTATGACATCAATTCATAACTTTACTTTTTCTTCCCATTCAAAGAAAGTTATACTTCAAAAAACGGAACACCGACAGAACATATTCGAGCAAGAAAATGGATTTTGTTTAGAACCAAAAAATAATTTTCTTCTGTTCAAATATTAATAGTAGAAAGAACCCGAATGTCAGGACTAAACTGAGGCCGACCAGTGGACTTTTTCAAGGAGAAATTACTGGCAAACCGTCCAATCATTTATTTTCACATTAATGCACATTATTCAATATAAACAGCTCCATTATTATGCTCATGTTGTCACATGCTGTAGATCAGCAGAGCTGTCTGAGAGCAGCAGTGGCTAGAGGGGTCAGTCCATAAGGAGTCACATGCTAGCTAGCAGTGGATGAGTCAACAACATTTGTCAAAGATCAAGAACAAAAATATGTTGTACAACTGCTGCTTTATGGTGATCAACTTACACACCTGATATTTATCCTAATGTTCAGCATTGTTAAAGTAATAAAAGCACTTTTTACAATCTTCATTTTTATGCTACTTTCTAGTTCTACTCTACATTTATCTGACAGCTGTAGTTACTAGTTACTTTGTAAGGATATGACTACAATTAAATGATTAATCAACCAGCCAAAAGTGCATTTCTGCTGACATTTTATAGACCATACTGTTAATGGAGAAAATAATCTGCATATTAATTATAAGTTAGTAGCAACCCTAGATTTTACATAAGTGAATATGATAAACTTGTAAAAGTTACACTGCTGAAGATTAAACCAGTGGTTCTCAAACCTTTTAGCTTGTGAACTCACACACAAGATGTCAGCGTCCAGCTGGAGATTATTTCAGAGTAAAATGATCCATTATTTGACAAAAAAATAAATAAATAAAAATCTTACAACTTGCTTCATCTTGATGAGTAATTGGTGCTTACAGAATGTTACCAGTGTTAAAAATACAACAATATACTAGGTAACAATATACAGCATCAGTCACACAGGGACATTTTACTGCAGAATGAGTACTTTTACTTTGATAATTTAATAGCTCTCTACTTTTACTTAAGTGGGATTTCATATGCAAGACTTTCACTTGTATTTTTACATTGATTCTTTAGGAAAAGTACCAAGACAGTAAAGTATTTCTTCCAACAGTGCCCAACACTCTTAAAAATATACAGATTCTATCTTTATTTTACATAAGCATGCTAGTTCAGCTAAACAGTTTTATCTTTTCGTTTTTAAAACACGTCATGCTGTCCTTGTACTTGTCATGTCAAGCATGAACGTTTGTTCTCACTAAAAGTGGAGCTTCTAGGTTGTTCAGGAACTTTCAATCATATCATACTGTTTTCATCATTAAGCTTTAAGCCAACACAGATGAGTAGCGTTGCAGTTGAATCACTAAACCTTGAGTCCATCACAAAATGGTTCCAAAGGGCTCACTGTGTACATGTCCTTTACAGCATATCATATAGTTACTATTGCTACAAACATTTATTTAAAAACAGCAGCTGAGTGAAAACCTTGAATTTCAGAGGTCAGCTGTTATGAACGTGAGATGGACAGTCTTCATTTCAGCTGTTTTTTATTTTTACTTTTATACACCATTGTGGGATTTTGAAACAATTCCATCAGATTAAAGGGTTGTGGCATTTCTCATCCCACATTACCCATCAGCTGAAGCCCTCTGGACTCCCAGGGCTTTCAGTTCAGTAAAGAAATTCTCAGTCCAGAAATCCACTTTAGTCCAAATCCACCATTATAAACTACAAATGAGAAAAAGCAGGCATTTCATTATGAAGCTAATGAACAGTGTCATATCAACACATCTTTTTAGTACTTGCCAATTCTGGGAGTGAATGTCCCGCTTTATGTTCACATGTTTTTCCAAGATTCCTAGCGCTTATTAAAAAGAGCCAGATCTCGGTGAGAGAAAAGGGAAAAAAAAAAAGACGTCACGGTCACCTCCAGTGGCTCCACAGATCTGTCCTCTGCTGTTTGTCAGTCCAGTGATAATGCTCGTTGGCTCCATTCCTCCCAAAACATTCTTTCCACTGGATTATGCAATAAAAGCCCCAGGACAGAGATAATGATGTAGTCTGATGAAAGGCGTAATAGAGCATAGCACCAATGGCTGTTACCATGAATCAATGAATAACAAATCTTATTCATTTCCAAAACTGCTACTGAGATTAATGAGATCCCCTTTACGTCAACAGCAAGTCCACTAACAGTCCTTAATATGTAGCAGTGCTGCAGGTGTTTTTGATTAGGCATTAGGCAACAGTCTATTCAGTTTCTAGTACCGAGATAAATATCAGCTGGTGTTTCCCATGGTTGCTTGGTTTCCTAATTTATTGGCAAAGAAAAGATGCCTGCGGTTGAATGTAATCATCAATACTACAACATGTGTCATATGTGTGGTGGCACATGCACATAGAACGAAATCAGCAAAATCCAACTGGCCTTTGGAAAATAGTGCAGACCTCAGTCATCTCTAGTGATGCAATTATGAATTTAACAAACATATCCATCACAGATTTGGTGAATTAACAGGCACGTAGCAAAACTAATAGGTCACTTCTCTCACATGTGAATATGTAAAGATTTAGTACCCTCATACAGACAAAGTCCAGCTAAAGAATTCAACAAGACATACTCTATGTGTGGATGTGTGCACATCAGCTTGCTAATAGAGGTCTTCATAGATCCAAAATAATACTGCAAATAAAAATAAAAAAAATCCTATCTCACACAGCTACACAAGGACTGTCCAGTTTGAGCACAGCCTGGACAAAAACAGATTCATCTGCACTGTTTATGATGGCATTACCTTGACATCTGCAGACAGCTGTTAGCTAGCTTTATCTCCCTGGCAGGAACATACCCCACACTGCTCAGCCGACTTTCATGGATTCATATCTCAAAGACCAAGAGCTCAGGTCAGTGTGCAGCCATTTTTCAGTCTGTCCGTCACATAGATGTGACCCAAAGATTTGCTATGAGATAGCCACACTCAGGTACCTCTCCTGAGTTTTGGCGGTCCTGTAAATTGTTGTGGGTCCACATCGACTAATTATTCCTGTCACAGTTTACAGGACTGTCATGACTCAAGACAACACACATAGCCAGTTGTCATCTATGTTACATTTGAACTAGAAATAACTCTGTTGCACGTTGTAATAACCCGATTTCCACAAAGCAGACATTTCACACATCATGCAGTCAGAATGGAACTACTTACAACAAATAACCAATGGATATACGTAGCAGTGTAAATGCACATGTTAATTGGAAAATCTTTTTTTTTTTTTTTTATTCAGCCCTTGACCTGAGACTTGCAGCAGTAAAATGTGACCCTACCTGACCCGACTGCAGTGACTATAATATGGACCTGGTCTGACTTGGTGCCTGGGTTGTGTCTGAGTTTCTCAGAATTGAGTGGACCTGTGATGCTCTACCTTATGATGCCAGAGGAGCTATAGTTATGCAGAGACCCTCCTTCTGCTTTCCTTCCACAAAGTCCTGCATGTCTATCGTTGCTGAAGTGTGTCTTGGCTTTCAGTTGTTGGGGTCAAAGTTCAGTCTTGATCCTATGCATCAGGTCTTTCTGGTCCACCATGTCAGTCTGTCTGTTCCAGCGGTGGTAAGCCAGCAGGGCGATGTTCTTGGCAGCCACTGAGCTCATCTCCATGGCACTGGCAGCCCACTCAATACCATTGAGGTAGTAGAGATTGGCATGGAGCTCCACAGGAGGCAGACCCTGGCTGCTGCCATAATGAGGGTAGGCCTGCCACTCTGTCACTTGCACCGAGTAGTACGACCTACAATTGAGACAAAACAGTAAGGAAGGAAAACTGTTGTTCAGCTTTTGAAAAATGTCTCATTACAACAGAGGATAGTCATCAAATTCACTAACTGTTGCATGGCTGCTTTTTTTTTCCAACAAAGAAGTAAAGTGGCTGACCTGAAGAGTGTTTTGAGCTGAGACTTGTCCAGAGGTTTTGGCGAGAACACTTTATAAACTCCAGCCTCTTGTGGCTGCTTCCGCCGGAAGCCTGCTGAAATGTTGACGGGACAAACACTTGCTACGCTGTTGAAGAACAGGTCAGGTGTCTCAGTTGTCAAAACACTGGCAAAGGGGAACAGGCGGGGGTCCGGGAAGCCAAAGAAGGAGGTGTTGAGGTAACCGTGAACAATGGTTGCTACAGTACTGTTATATTCACTGGGAAGCTGGTCAAAGGGAGGTGCAAAACCTTGGAACTGGACTCCAGAACCACCGCTGGTCTGGAGCGGCACTGCCAACACTACAATGTCATATAACTCTGATCCTTCCCCTGTTGCTGTGGTGAAGCTGAGCTGGTACTGGAGCGCCTCACCTGTAGGACAGATACACAAAATGTGTCCTGGACTGGGTCAGGTAACCAACAAAAATGATGTGTAGTGTATATGTTTATATTAACTGGCAGGTGCAGGTGGGCAGCAGGTGAAATGAACGTTACACAAAACTCACCACAAGTTGGAACAACCTACCTGAGAAATACCTTAAAAACCCTGAGCATAACTGTACCTACAAGAATGCTGTTTTAAAGGTAGAGGGTGGACACAGCAAATATTAATTCGATTGAGTTCAATGATAAAAACTGTCCATCCATTTTTGAAAACACCCTCAGTTAACCTTTAGGTTGTACTGTATATTGTAAAATACTGTTCCTCCCTGGTTATGGGCTGTTCCTACTGAGCAAAAGGCCTAATACTCAGCTCAGTGCCAGCCCTGTGGACTGTATTATTGTTATCACTTCATGTGCTACATAAACTACATAATCCCAATCTCAGGGTACAGCACCTGAGTGGACGGGGGAGATGGTGTTGACTTGTGCTTGCAGCAGGTTAGCATTAGCTATCTTCAGCAGGCCAGAACACACCAGCTTGTTGCCTCCTTCCACCGCCCACAGGTTGTTCTGGGCACCAGCTAAAGACACTGCGCCTGAAACATACACATACATGCTTACTCGCAACAGACTGCCAAGTGCTATAAACCAATTATCAGCTGCCCACCCTCTTTCCCGTTCTTTCGCTCCCACAGGTCACTCCCTGCTCTCTCTTTCAGAACTGCCGCCTTCCTGACTCAGGCCAACTTTTCACACCCACACTCCACTGCTCACTTCTTCACCCATCTGACCTATGAAGGCAGGGATGCTGACGTTCTGTCTGTAGATGACCCTCATGACGGGGGCAATGACCTCGTCGATGAAGCGCTGAGACACACCAAGTTCCAGCAGCGAAACAGAAAGCGGTCTACGCGTCATGTTGATGAAGCCACTCCCGCCAAGAGAGTCCAGCAGCCCTTCCACCGAGCTGAAGGCATAGCCGTGGGCCTGGTACTTGTATATCCTTTTATTACGCACATGATATACACAGATGACAAATAATGGTTAATTAGTCAATTTCTGAAACCTGTGACAAATTATCACCAATTTCTTAGCAATTATCTGCACATAATAAGAAAGCCACAAAAATATACAGGCAGTGTTGCTGATTTAGAGAGAAGGCAAGAAAGACTGATGCAGAGATATATCATTTCCTCTGACAGGAAACAGAGGTCAGTGAACAATAATGGTGGAGGGATAAATTGTAAATCCAGGTCAGGTTCGTGTTTTAAGCAGAACAAGAGTCAAGGTAATACAATTAAATAAAAAATGTAACGTCTTGGCCGTATTTTACAGTCATGTGTGAAGCTGTGCACCACCAGACATCAGAAAGAGGACTGGCTGAGCAAATACATCAGTTTTGTTTTTTTAATACTGTATTCTTTTGTTGCAAACAGAGCAGAATTTTCATTACAGCAGGACATAGAAATTTACAGCTGCCGTCATTTACATAAACCTAAAGTCACACAGTGAGTGGAGCTTTTGCAGTGACTATGTCTGCAGATGCTGAAGATGTAGAAAATAATAAACAGCTCAGCATAGGCTTTGTTCACTGACTGCAACACTAGATGGCAGTGTTGTGTATTGTGTTTTTACATTCCATGATTCCCTTTGTGAAGGTGGCAAGAAGGTTTAACCTGGAAATGGCTTTGCTGGATTAGAAATGCACATTTATTTGGATTCAGAGTACATGAAGAGTACATTTAAACCTGTGTAGACCAGCTCTGTGTTGTTTTTCCTATCAAGTAACAATTTGACCAGGCAGACCAGTTACATATAATTTAAAAGAGGTGCAGGTAAATGTAAATTAAAGCGGAGCCACTCTACAAGAATGACATGAGCATGCCAGGTAGCGGCCATGTAACTAAACAACAGGGTGTTCATATTTCCAGCATACCTCATGAATTTCTCCATAATTTCCTCCACCCACATCTGCAGGCGTATGAAGCTGATACCATAGCGCCACCACAGTCGGAACAGGTCCAGCAGGTACCAGTCTGTCTCCTCCAGAATCACCTCCTCGCCATTAAACACGGCCATCTTTCCTGCCACGCTGCGACGATACTTCAGACCTTGAGGGCCAGAGTAAGATGACACAAAAGGACAAAACAGGGAAGAATTTAACATTAAGGAGTTTTTAATAAACTTGTCTCTAACAGATATGTAAAATGTACCTGCTGAGTTTTACTGTAGAATTCACAGGAAAAACAAACTGATAAAAATATAAATATTTCTCCCAAGCTGTGATTTCACATCTGTAACATCTATCTTCTCTGAAACTTTCTGGACATTTACTAAAATCTACCACAACAAGATGTAAACAGTCATGTGTTTGATTACTTTAAGCTACATACTTATTTTCAGTGCTGTTACACAGGATCTCATGCACGTTACTAAAATCTTTGCTTAATTTCCATCAATTTTTCCATTGAAAATAGCTACAAAAGGACAGACAGCGACTAATCCTGTGCAGTCACACTTATAATTGCCTTGGCCTTTAACCTATGTTTGTGTAAACCCACCAAGCTGCTTGACAAACTCCTGCATGTGGAGGTTGAGGGAGTGAATGATGGAACCTCCAGACTCATAGTCATTGTGATTGACGCTTATAGTGGCGAGACGACCTCCGACCACACCCTTTTCGAACACGTCCACCTGAACCTCAGGGCCAAAGTGCTGCCGCAGAAAGTGAGCTGTGGCGCTGCCGCCTATCCCTGCCCCGACCACCGCTGCAGCACAAGAGGAAATGTGAAATCAGAGTATGATTTGGAAGTGAAATGTGCCTTAAAACTGTAGTAATGACCATCAATCTTACAGATTTGCCTGCAGTTTTGTGCAAACACTTTAGGTACTTTTGAGGATTATTATCTATCATGCAAAACCTTCAGGAAGGCATCTGATCTGTCCCATTTTCATTCTACAGCATGAGAAAAACCTAAACATATAGCCAAAGCCATAAAAATCTTCAGAGACAAGGAGTCCTGCAACAGATGGTTACCAATAAAATGAAGAATCAGTGGCTACAAAGTTGTGCAGCATTTAGCAGATTTTCAGTTTCTGGCTTCAGCTTCGCAAATATGATATTTGTTGCTTCTCTCTGTTGTGTATCATTACACACTCAATATCTTTGGGCTTTGGACTGTATATTAGAAAAGTCTCAATTTGTGTTGGTGTTTTTAATACATCTATGAAAAAGCTTCATGTAACCAGATATGGTTAGGTATGTGTTAGTGAGCTGTGAACAGGTGGACACACGTTATGCTTCTAACAATATGACTGTATCTTCATTACTTGGATATCATCTTTGAATAAATTCGCTAAAGCTGGGTCTTTGTAAGACCTAATGAAACCCAAAGCTTTAAAAATGACACCGTACTCCAATGAACAACATTACTAAATATTGGTCATCTATTTACATTCAGATACAACTGCGGTAGCTAAAACTCAGGAGTTAGATAATGAACACTAGCTAACGTTACACAGTAGCCTATTACTTTCTCTCAGAGTAAATGATGGTGACCCTCTGGATGCGGGCTAACGTTGCCGTTAGCTAAATTCAAAGGCTGGTTATAATGTTTCAAGATACTGCTTTCCTTGCCTATTTTAGAAGGCGGGGCTCCGTCGACATGAGCGGATTCCTCCGGGTTTCCGACAGCCGACCAGGCTGACAGCACAATAGCGAACAGCGTGAGCAGAGAGCCGCCCATAGTAGCGACACAACAAAGATGACCGCCGGGAAGAGCAGGTGCAGACCGTGCAGCGGTGGTTAACCTAACCTTACGTTACCACATTAGGGTAGCGTTGGCTCCTCTCCACTTTACACATGGAGAATGTTCAGAACAAGGATGCTCAAATGCCGGTTGACTCTGACGCTGTAAATTAATAAAGTTACGTTTTAGTTTTGAAGGCACAATATTCTACACAAAGACAGCTAGAGCATTGATGATGCAGATCATCTACTAATGAAGGGCCGTCACATCACTTCCTGCAATATCACGTGGTATGAAACGTTAGTTTGTTTCGACCAATCACACCCATCTGGGAAGATAATGTGTACATTCTTTACTTACCGGATTGCAATCATTTTATTATCAATAGGTCCGACAATTATGTTCTTTAATCATTGATTGTTAGATGATACAAATTTCAGACAACACTGAAATATGCCCCTTGTTCCTGAAGCCCAAGTTAATGTCTTAGTCAAAACCCCCAAGATTACGGGGAATTTGCAAATCATCTGGAGAAGCTAGTGTCAGCCATTTTTTGATTTTTTTTTAAATGACAAACAAAAAATCAATTATGATTTTTTTAAGTCATCTACTCATTTTAGCTCCAGTCATTTTTTTCTGGGTGGCAAGGGAATTTATGAATCTTCCATGTATATTGGAAGTTAACAGGGATCCAAATGCTCCCTAGAACTAGCTTCAGAGCTTCCTCCAGTAATGTTTGAAAAGTAAAGCGTTTGTGGCATTTTTAAAAAGAAATCCACAGGACAACATATTGAAAAACAGTGGAATTTGCCTTTATTTTATTCAACAGAGAAACTGCTGCGACATTGGAGAAAACCACTGAACAGAAACTAACATTCACACTGAGCCACTGAAAGAATGACTGGCACAGTGGAGCAGTAAGGCTTAAGGACGCCTGACACATGCACACGCACGCACACACACACAACTGTGCACATACCACACACAAATACACATGCACTCACACTCACTCACTCACTCACACACACACGCGCGCAACTTTCATTTACATCAGCTATCTTACACCTCTATGGCTGCTCCGGGAGCAGCCTTGTTACTATCCCTCTCTCCCAATGTGGTCAGTCAGAAGTGAGGGGTCAAGGGTCACCTTGAGATCAGGTAACCTCTGTTCCCTGCTGTTTCCTTTAATGCAGGGCTGTTTCAGGGCTAGGAGGCAACATAACACAGAGACTTTAACCGTTAATCTCTGTGGTACATCTCTAAGCAACATAACCTCCAGCAATAACACTGCGAGGCTAGCCGTGGGCCTGGAAGGTGGGTTTTGGGGGTGTTGGGGGAGGTCATGCTGTGGCCAAAGGAAGGGCAAGGAGGAGGGCACCGGCCAAGAAGGTGATGCACAATTGGTCACTTGGTGGAACGCCGGGTGGGCTCAGAGGCAGTTGGGGGAGGTGGTGGGCCACGGCGGTCAAGATCTTCGATGTAAAACATGATGAGCTTCCTGCGCTCCTCAGGGACACACTCCAGAACAAGGTACCGCTTGTCATTCTGAAGGATCTTCTCCACATCCTTTAGATGCTGCTCTGACTCCTGGATCAGCTTTCTTGACCTGGGGAGGGGAATATGTGAGGGGAGCAGAGGTTAGTTCTATGCACTAGGGATTAAAGGGGAGATTCTGGTTTGTCTCTTCATTTGGTACGCCGGTCTACAGTCAGTATAGCAAAAAAGTACACAGGGATGGCTGTGGCTCAGCAGGTAGAGCGGTTGTCCCCTAAATGGAAGGTCGGCGGTTTGACTGTCATTCTCCCCACTCCACATGTCAAAGACACTGAACCTCAAAGTTGCTCCCAATGGCAAGGTTAGCGCCTTGCAGGGACACCATTGGTGCATGTGTGCGAGTTGGCACCGCAGATGGCTGCTTCACTTCTGTACTGGAGACAAATTCCTTGTGTGTAACATACTTAACCAATAAAAGTGATTTAAACAAAAGTGAGTCTGGTTTTCTGGGGAAAAAAGTAACTATTACAAATTGAGTGTGTTGTGTAACAGTGTAGAATCTGAAATATTTCTGGGCTGTAACTGTATCAGGTCGTTTATTCTGGATATATGGGTAATGAAACATTTGTAATATTTTTTACTGCTCTTAGTGACCCATGTGTTCTAGTATGTGGCAGTGAGTGTACACACACCTGTATGTGATGAACTTTGTCTCCTTTAGCAGGGTCCTGAAGTCAGCTTTGGCTGTGATGTATTTATCTTTAATGTAGTCTTCAAACTCGCGTTGTCTTTTCTACAAAGACAGATGAACATTTTAGACACTGACGCTCAGGTAAAACGGGTGTGCGTTTCACATGAAATGGTTATAACATAAAACTCACACCACAATGACAATGCTTTTAAGACAGATGTAAAAATATCTAGATTTAATGCCAGAAACCAACTGACATTAACTCTTGCATATTACTATAGTCAAATCCTACTTTGGGGTTTCTAGTGCCAAAGAATGATAGAAAATCAGTATGTAACATAGGCCCATTGAATCATTTTAATGAATCAGAATCCTTATGAATCACTTACTGAATAGGTTTGCATTTCAGTATTTGCAACATAAAGCTGAAAGAACTACAACTCAAAGACAGTAGTTTTTGTTGGCTGAGAAGGCAGAAACACTACTTTTTAGTGGCAGCCTAAATAACACTCACAGCCTTTGCCTACAACCTAAAAATAAGATGAACAGCATGATATATAAACTGGAAAAAAAGCCTTGCAGTAGCCTTTCATCATTTTACTGTATAAATAAACAAAATAACAGGTCGGAGGCTTCTCATTACGTACCCGGTCACTGGAGGAGAACTTAATACAGCGAGGATCCTCCTTGATGACCTTCTTCACTTCCTTCCATGTAGTTGTCAGAGTGATCTACAACACAAAGAAAAACAATCTTTAAAATAAGCTCATAAAATGAATCAGTGAAGAAGTTCATACAAGTCATTAAACATAAATGATAAACCACAGATTACCAATGACTTGCAACTTGGCACGGCTTTTCGCTTCATGTTTTACTTCTCACCATGCTGGTCTCATCCAGCAGCTGCCTGAAATGTTCCTTCTTCTTCTTGGCTAGTGCTTCTACGTGTTCATTAAACAGCTTCTCCTTCTCCTCCCTCTCTAGCAGTGACGCCGACTCCCAGCGATGGTCCTTCCGCAGGTTACGACGTGTTTCTGACCACGTTGCATCTGAAGAACGCACCTGAGGAGTGAAAAAAATACACTTTAAATGCAGAAGAAATGTAACTATCATCTGTTTATAGACAATGGACTTGCATCTTTTGAGCAGCTACAAAGAAAATATAATTTGCCTAATTCACTTATTTGTTTTATTTTTATTGTTAAATAACAATACATTATTATCCTCATGCACCAGAACAAATAGTTATGGTCTTAAAGAAATGTAAATATCATTTTTTGTTCCATAAGATAAATGTTTCTGGCAAAAAAGTCTAACTATAATGGCTCTCAGACAGTGGTACTATTTAGAATTGCGTTCCTGCAACACACGTTCACTTCTCACCTATATGGACATTCCTGCAGTCATAATCATATCTGTAAACTCTGACTTGATTCTGCCAGGACTCATAACTACATCTAAAAATCAGTCGTTACCCAAAATACCTTTTGAAAAATCTCATGGAAAAAGTAAAGTGTAAATTGCAGTATCATACATTTGTTTCATCACATTACATCAGTTTTAATGGCATCTTACCATATCAGACATGAGGGCTTTGAAATGCTGAATGGCCTCTTCCCTCTTGTGCTGCTCCCTTTCCCGGTCGATCTCTTTGGTCTGTTCTGATCGGGCCTTCTGCACCTCCCGCTCCCTCTCTCTGAGACTGGCCTCGATACGGGCCTGTCGCTCCAACTCTCTCTCCTTCTCGATGTCCACACTCTGTTTATTAGTTTAACAACCAAGTTATTAATAGGCTGAAATTAATCTTGCAACCCTCTTCCTCGATTTCTCTCACACTTGACATTCTTTCTATCTTTCAAAAACACAGAACTGCTCGTACCTTAGCTTGTTTTTCTATATACTGTTTGAAAAGTTCTTCTCTGAGTGCAGAGCTCTCCACAGACTTGTATCGTGGATCAGTCTCCAGCCTCTCTTTCACTTTGCTCCACCGCTGGCCTCCCTCTATGTGCTGCTCATTTAGGAGATCAAAGAAGTCTAGCTTCACCTGGGACCACACATACACACATCAAAATTAATGAGGCATCTTTCCAAAAATCATGGTCGGCTGCAAAGTAGAAGGGCTGGACCCAATCATTCGACTATTCAGATATTCGTTCATTGGGTAGGTAATCGGTTTTCAATTTTAGTATTCGAATATTCGAGACAGCAGGAAATTTCTATGCAGTCTGAGTCCAATGATGAAGAGGAAAGAGAACACAATGGAGACAGCTTGGTCTGCTAGCTGGTGCTCACATCTCTGAAAACATTGGAGCAAATCTGCAAATAAGCTAAACAGACCAGATATTCTAAATCTATATGGTGACTTTCTTGCCTGAAAAATAGAAAAACTTATCAAAGTAGCATAAGACCAATGCTAGCACAAAGTATTCACAAATTCAAAGTTCCTGAATGAATAAATCAAAAGCAAACGCTGTTAAAACACAAATGATGCCTCTTTACATCTACACAATGCAACGCTGAAAAGAAGTACTACAAAAATACTCAATAGCATTGTTCTTAGCTACATTTTTTCAAACTAAGTGTTGTGGTATAACGGACAGAAGACCAGTGGTGTGTTAAGTGATTCTGGTCTCTTTTTGGTGATAGACTTTGTAAGTCCTTGCACCCTCGTCTTGTTCATTGTCATGGGCATGGCTGAATGAAGCCCTAAGGACCAAAACGTAAAGGTATCCTATGTCTGAATGACAGAAAACCATCACTTTAACAGACTGAAAAGGGCTGTACTGTATAAACGTGTGTTGCAGTGTGATCTCAGCTGAGAACAAATCACATCAGCAGGACAACAGCGTCTACAGAGATATTGATTCATGGTCAGTCAAACCACCACAGTCATGCTCAAGAGACACTGTATACTGATGTGAGCGAGTGATACCTTCTCTCCTCTAGATTTGGAGTCCTCTTTCTCTCTCTTCCTCATAGCAGTCATGAATTCCATGAAGATAGCCTCCCTGTCCTTCATCTTCTCTATAGTCTTAAACCGTGGGTCTCGGCCATGCTTCACTGCAAATTCACTAAATGTTGTTCTGTAAAGATAAGAAAAAAAAAACCAACACTGCAATTTTTGCTTTTTTGCAAACCAACAATGAACAGTTCCAAAGATCTCACAAATCATCTCTTCAGCACAACAGAAAAGAACTGTATACAAATTATTTATTATGTTAAATATTAATAAAATATTGTTAATAATTAGGGCTGTCAAAGTTAACACAATAATAACAAGTTAACACAAATTCCTTTTAACACCACCGATTTTCCCCCCACACACAATTAACGCACATTTTAATTAGTACTGGGCAGCTTGTGAATTTTCCACCATAGATCAATGAGGTCTCATAATTATACTGTATTTTATTAAAATATAGTGTCATAAAAACTATTAACTAAAGTTATAAAATAAATTTGCCTCTACAATGTAGTAACGTCAAAGCTTGAAGTAAAAGAAAACAAAAATGCTCAAGTCCCATTACCTGGGAGTGAGTTTCGCATCCTCCATCATCCTCCTGAACTCGTCTTTGGCCTGCATCAGTTTGTTCTTCTTCTCCTTCCTTTCCTCCTCAGCTCGTGTCTTCACATACTGATCAAACACCTGACGTGGACATGATCACAAAACTATGACTGAAGGATTTTTTTAAAACGGCCAGTACATAGCACAATACTGAAAGTGGGTAATTGTGAGAAGAGAGCAACACATGAAAAAGAAAAGAAAAACTGAACCTGTTTTCTTTCTTTTGGGTTGAGTAAAAGGTAACGTGGGTCAAACACAATCTTATGAAGCTCTTTGTCCCAAGTTGAGAACGCAGACACCTACATAGAAAAGAGAAAACACTGTCATTAGACAGCTCAGGCGTAACCATGTACCACACAATATAAACAATCTATGCACAAAAACTAAACATGTAAGTAAAATTTCAGTTTGTCCTTGACAATATAATCGTACCTGCGAGTGAGGACAATTCAAGAAGTGACAAGGGAATAAGTAAGAAGGTACATAAAAACCTTCAGGAAAACATTAACGACTGCAGGGTTTTTCTGTCTCTATTAGGTTTGCTTAAGTGCCTTAAGATGCCTACTAACTTCAGCATCAAATTTGCGTTACCCCTCTCTCCAGCAGCATTTCTCTGAACTGGGTCATCCTGGCCTCCAGTGGCACTATAGCTCGTTCTCTGGCAGCTCTGAGCTCAGCCTCCATTGCCGCTTCCTTCTCCGTGTCTGCCTCCTTCACATCCTCCTTCCTGTGAGGGTGAACCCAGATAAGGCCACACAAGGTGGTGAAAGAATGTAGAGACAAGGTAGGGGGGGAAATGACTGACAACATTTCTTTGTTGAGCTGAGGTAACTCCATAAAGTTTTACAGTACTACAGTGTTAAGTAATGGAAGACTTACTTCCTCTTTTTGGCTTTGGTTGGCTCCTCATCCTGATTTTCTTCAGTCGCAATGGCCATTTCAGGCTCATCTTTATTAATACCTGTGCACAAACACAAAATAAATAAGACAGATACTAAAGCGACAGCAGTAGTCTCATAATGTTATTTACATCCAAATCACAGACTCAGCCCATGACTACACAGAATTGAAACATCACTATCCACCTGTCTTCTTGCTGTCCTCCAGGCCTCTCTTGTGCGGTGGCTCCTGGATGTGCTTGTCAACATCGGCTCGACCAACCAGCTCCTCCGGTCGGTCCCACATGGACAGCCGTGTTGTCGGGTTGTAGAAAAACACCCGATCGTCGCCCGTCCATACCACACACCTAACATAAAACGGACAACACACACAGTCATCAACAGGCAGCACAGGGATTAGGAGACAAAATAAGAACACATTAAATTTAAACCATCAAAGTAAATCGGAGAGATGAGATGTGTGATGCGGTGTGCATACCATGGCGTGCCAGGGATGGGGTTAGTGGCTATAGGTCTAGCTTTCTGAGCTGCCTTTTCCTCTTCTGTCATCTCTTCTTCTTTAGGCTCCTTGATAAAGAAAAATACTGGTTATCACTATTACAATGGTAGTAAACTGTAAAACTATAGTATAACTCATCATCGACATCCACCAGCCATATCATTACACACAATTGGTAGTTTTAATGTTGTGGTGGACATCAGTCAGCATGGGAAAAATTAACAGTAGCCACGACTGACACACTGTGCTTCACAACTTGCTACGTATGATGCTTTATACTGACTCCAGTCACAGCAATAAAGCTCATACAAACTTCTAAATCTGAGACAGAAAACTTTAAGTGAGGTATCTCTACTCTTCACCCACCTCCTTCTCATTATTACTGTTTTCTGTTTTGTTCTCCTCATCCTCCATCTCCATTGCCTCAGCTTCCTCCTGGGCCAAACGCTCCTTAGCCTTTTCCGTCTCTTTTTCTGATGACAGGGAAGAGAAGAAGCACAGTAAATCGCAGATGATCATCTCACAACGTCAGGCCTGACAAACCCTGTGTGTATACTAGTCAGCAGTGCCTACCTTTCTCGACCAGAGCCTGTGGTTTCTCCCAGGTGGACTCCAGTGTTCGGTTGTTGTAGTAGTACGTTTTCCCATCTGCTGTTTTATACTCTGTCCACTCAGGGAGCTGCAGTGATCCAGCCATGGAGGCAGGAGCTGCTGAGAGAGCCAGCTGGGGATGCATCATGGAAACTAAAGGCGGGCCCATACCAGGAAGCATACCTGTCAGTCAGAGAGGAAAGATGGATCATGATTGGCTGAGAGTCATCTTTATGTCTGAACTACTCATACTAGTTGTAGTGGACTACACTCTAGAAAAGGCACCGTTTATACACCAATTTGTGAAAAGTCATTTCCAGGTTACCCATCTATAAATCAAAATCTAATAGCAAAAAGAGAGAGAAGACAGAGGGCTCCACAGGCAGAAGACTGAGTCACTGCAGCTTAAAAAGTATTCGCCTGGTTCTCTAGAGAGGTGAATTATTAGATGAATGAATAATATATATCTATCTTTATATGGAACAAACTCCTCAGGTCTAAAGATAACTGATTGACAACACAGGCCACATACACAAACACATAAAGCAGTGACCACACACACAACCATGCCACAAAAGACGACAACCACGTGACCACAACATGTAGCCCTAATTGATACACTACTACACAACAGCATCTAGCATTAATGGGACTGTCCTAACAAATATGATCTCTGTCTGAACTTTGCAGTCACAACTACACGACTATCACTGACTTGATCCACTCAAAAAAAAAATTGATGCTGATTTTCAGGTATCCCCTCATTTACTATTTACAGTACAGAGACAAAAATAGTACCTACCAGTTTCTGAGGACAGGGTGCAAACAAATCGCACTCTAATGTTTACGCCAGGGGACTTTTCCCCCCAGTTTGTTTTAAATAATGGAAACTAGACCTAAACACTGTGTGCAGTAGAACATCTTAAAAATACACAGGTGATGAAATGTTGCATGTGACGGATTTAGTACAGAGCAAATAAACTGAGCGTGTGAAATCGGTATGTATGATCACAATCAAGTTGCATACTTTGCTTCTGTTTGTTGGAATGGAAGAAATTTCACCACTGGACACCAAATGGATCATGTTCACAGCATTCACCACCATGCCACTATTAGAGGGTTTCCATATGCAGTCACTACAGAAATGATTCAGAAATGAGTCACGTTCTGCACACTCTGTGTTGTTAATTTAATTTTACATTGATGAGACTGCCATTTTTGGCCATCAACCCATACTCAATATCCCATAAAGACAAGAAATGGCTTGTTCCTTGTCCTAACATGAACTGTGAATTGTGGGACCTTAACACACACACACAGGCGTGCCTCTTTCTAAACTACAGTATACAACAAAACTGTGCATGCACTGCAGTATCACTAAAATGATAAATGATTGAAAATCATACCATATTACAATCATTGTATTATTTTTAAGCTGAAACGACATTTGATCTTATGAATAATTAAAAACAAACAGCCTTGATACAAGATTATATAATAACCTGTGAACACCACAGCTTTCTCAGTTTCAGCCTGGGTTGTGTCTAATACAACCTGGATTCACACAGTAAGGAAGTGCCTGAATAATTAAGAAACCATATTGTGATGCTTCATAAGGATGGGAGAGGGTACACAAGCATCAGTAGACTACTGGACATAAGCTGAGCACACGAAGAGCTATCCACCATCCTTGAAAAACTATGCCACTCACTGTTCATTGTTTACATAACCTTGCATTGTGTAAAAAAAAAAAAAAGTGCTTCTATCTGTGGACAGTGGTGTTTCAGTCGCTGCTGACAGGTCAGTGCATGACATCTCTACACACACAAAACTGCAAACACTGACAACATAAAACCTGCCTACTTAGTATCAGCAGCACAGATCATATTAACCCAAAATTCATTTGTTTGCATCAGATGGGGTCTGATATGTTTGGTGTGGCCCTGGCCAGGACCACCACAGTGACTGCCTACTGCTGACCATGAAACAAACATGAGTGCAAAAGGTGCCGGGGAGAAGACATTTATAGAAAGCACTGTGAATACTAGTTTATATACCTAGGATATATATACGATTATATACGAGGATTTTTCCAACATGACAACGATCCCAAACACACTGCCAAAATCCAGTAAGTATTTTCAAAGAAGAAAAAAGTGAAAATTATGACCAGGCCAAGTATGTCCCCTGACTTGAATCCAATAGAACATATCTGGGGTATTTTGAAGCAAAAGGTAGAGCAACAAAACCCCTCCACCAAAGAGCACCTTAAAAGAATAATCTGTGAACAATGGCAGAACACCTGTCCACAGATTTGGATAAGTATCACCTGTGCCCAGGAGGATCCAAGCTGGCATCAAAAGTAAAAGGTGGATATACAAAATATGTACAATATAAAACATTGTTTTTTAAATAAATTGGCTTTATTCTTCTTTGACTAAATATAAAAAGCGTATTACATGAAAATAATCTAAAACCATGTTTTCACTTTGTCGTTGTGGTTTACTGACTGCAGATTGATGGGCAAAAATGGCAATTTCATCAATTCACAAACAAACCTACAACACAATAAAGTGTGCAAAAAGTGAAAAGTCTGAAAACGTTCTGAAGCCACTGTATACCATATGACTCATGTAGACATCATTCACTACCATGCCATCTACTGTAGATCTGATAGAGGAGCGTGTTTACCGTTGGCGCTGGGGCCTGCCTTTACACAGGGTGCACCTACTATCTGCATCATTGCTACACCTGCAAGAACAACGGACAAGCAAGCATCTGGTTGAACAGAGCAAGACAATGAACATCAGCTACCATGGTGTGTAAGACTTTGTGTGTGTGTGGCCCCGCTCAAACAAATGTACGGCCAACCTTTGGATTGTGCTTCCGTTATGTGACAACAGTTACTCAGTCAGGTATGTGTGTGTAGAGAGCAGAGCGGGTTTACAGTCTTAACTATTATTTACTTGGAAGCAATTACATCTATATTAACAATTATGAAGTAAAGAAAAGAAAGAAAAGCATAAAGAAGTACACGTTAAAGAGTAAATGCATAATGTTAGAATACAACAAACCTCAAAGTCAATCAGGAGATTTGTCAGCTGAATAACCATGGACCCTATTGTAGGCCTAGCCCCATCTGATAATAACTCTGGTTATGCTAAACACTTTAACTACACAGGACACAGTAAACCACCAAAATGAGCTCCTTCATTAAAATTTTGTCAAAATAAAGGACAGAAAGAAACAAAAGGATTAAAAAAGACAGAGGAGAGAAAAGCAACAAAAGACTAAGCACAAACACAGAAGACTAACAGGAGTGTCTGCACAAATTTACACTTAAACTCAAGCCTCTGTACTCTGGAGTTATTATGTGGCCCCTGAACAAAATATAACGGTGACATTTACATGTATAACCTGTGAGTGACTTCAGTGTGGCCACAAATTAATACTACCCTCCTTTGGCGTTGCAACAGCAGCTAGAGCTGGAATCCACTGACCAGGTTCATTTTTTCATGTCAAAAACTGCACTAACAATAATGAGTCAGTTTCAGTTGTGACTGTAAAGTAAATGCAAGTTATCACAAAACATTTACTCAGTAAATAGCCCATTAGCATCAGAGTAATTGAACAATCTTAATTTACTAGCCACATTAAACAGGTTTGTTTGTCCCTGTGCTGAGCCCTTTAATTTGCGTTA